TTTTTTTTTTTTTTTTTTTTTTTTTTTTTTGCATGACATGTCAGTATTGTTCCAGTAATTGCGGCTCAAAGCACATCCTTTCTGACAAGGTCTCACTCTGCTGTTGTGGTTCTCCTGGACAGTTTGGGGTGCATTTGCTGCACATGACAAGAGCTGCCCTGTCCGGCGGGGGGCAGCGTACCTTTACCCCCCTCCGAGACAGCAACAACCACCCCGAGGAGCAAACTTAGAGGAGGAAGTTTACCTGCAGCTTTAAAAAAAAAAAAAGCGAAAAAACAAAACAAAAGAGCACCCACTCTTGTACCTGGAGGTGTGTGTGTCTGTGGTTGTGTGTACTTTGCGTCTGCTGTGTTGTTCCTTCTTTCACGGTTTGCTTGGCTCTCGTGGTTTTGAGTTATGTTCGGCTTATCTGCTCTCCAGCATGGTGTGTGTGTGTGTGTGAGAGTGTTTGTGCGTGTGAAACCGAAAAGGTCAGGTTGACACAATGCAATATGCAAATTGGGGGTGCGCAGAAATCATTTTTGATCCGCGTTCTGTGAACGCCTCATATTGTCTCAGCTCAGAGGGATTTCACAGGCCAGTGAGGATCTTGACCTTTTTTTGCCTGAAGAATTCAGTAATTACCGGCGTTGGATGCTCTCATCCCTCTGGGATGGTTTCTCTGAGCTTTGCTGCATGCCTTTGTGTTCAAGCTGTCCGTCATGAGGACTTCACACGTTCCTAATTGGGGTTTTTTTTTTTAAAATCTGAATGTCTGGCTTTTAAGATTCACGTGTCCCTTAGAGGGCTGTGGCTGAAGGGCTTCAACTAACAACGCAAATTAATTTGTCAGATGTAAACCAGTCTGTTTTTTTTAACTGACTGTTTCATAGCTAAAGCCGACATCTCTTCATGTTTCATCCAGATCCAAAATGCGTAGTTTACCGTTTGGATCGGTTACTTTGTGGTGAATAGAATAACCACTGAAAAGACGAATATACACTCGCCACCTGAGCTCGCAGTGGCACTAAAACACAAACCTCACGTGCACAAACGAGGCCAACAAGCATCCAGGTACAGAGTCAAACAGGCGCCACTCCTCAGCCGCCGTTTGAGAATTAATCACAAAAGTGTCAGACTTAAGAATCCCTCGAGTTGTGCAAACTGAGGAACCGCGCGCTCAGCAAAGCAGCTGGACACGAGCTTTGTGTGGAGGTGACCATGTGCTTGACGCATTACTAAATGGAGTTGTTTTTTTGTTTTTCTTTCCCGTCTCTGATCCTGTGAAGTGTGACATGTCGCTGCCATCTATGCTGCCCTAACGTGGCGTTAGCTGACCCAAAACTAAGACCACCTCACAGGATCGTGCGGCATGAGCTTTTCCAATCACTTCTGAGCTCAGACAGACAGCAACGCATTTTGGAAATTTGTTTTTTTTTAAACTCCATTTTGTGTCTCTTCTCAGGGCAAAAACCAGTGACTGCTAACAGCTCCAGCAGCAACGTCTGGGAAATCCAGCGCTCTCCCAACCAACTTCCAGAACTCCAAAACCAATCTTCCTCTCCACCATCTTTAGAAAACCCCCCCCCCCCCTCCCAGCGTGTCCACATTTTTCCTCTCTCTGAATTGTTTACAGATAAACACACCAGCGTTTCACGCTTTCCCCACAGACCGCACCTCACACACTGTTAGGGCCGCTTACAGGCAGAATAAGTAGTGGGGGGGGGGTTCCCCAGCTTTTATTTCCTTCATGATTTCTTTTATGTTTTTACGCTTTTATGGCGAGACTGATAACAGACTATGCATTGCCAATTTGTAATGCTGTTCATATGTGTATTTTTGGAAAACATTTCTTTCAAAGGCGAAAATGAAAATGTTCTATTTTTTATAAAGAGATTACTTGAAGATTTTCAGGTGAATTTGGGGGTTGGTATGACGACGAGCGTGGCCTCCTCCAAAAATCCACACAAGTGGCATAAAGAGTTTCCATGTTGTACATAGTACTCTTTTTAAAAAGATGTGTATAAAAGACTTATTTTTGCTTGTATAAAAATCATAAAGAGCTAATGTTACAGAACTCAACACAGCTGAAAACCTCTTATGATTTTTTTTTTTTCCTCTTTTGAAATGGATTTGTCTTAAGTTTCCCTAAGAGTGTAATCAAAATAAAACTGATAGTATCTAATTTACACACCAACCTGTTTTTTTTCTTTCCTTCCCTTTAATCTGTTATAAGCTGCACCCTTTGTTAAAGAGAAAATAACAGTAGAAGCTAATGTGGATGTGGTTAGTACCGGTTTGGTCGTATCGAGATGAACTGAGCTCGGCTTAAATGAACTGTCGAGTGTTTGTGTGCACAACCGGCCGAGCCGTTTCATGGCTTGGTGCTTTCATTTTTAAAAGCGCTGTCAGTGCATTCCTCTCCCACAGCCTACACAGAAAAACCAACCAAAACAAGGACCCAGACGGACGAGGAAAACCACAAACCTGGCAAACTAGCTCCCGAACTGAATAAAGGAGTTGTCCTGCAGTTTGCACAGTGCATGTCCTGGAGGGTAATCGTATTACTCAGAGGTGGGACTGCCAGGAATACAGGATGGCGTCCGGCCAAGCGGTTTCACTTAGGGGGCGGAGGCAGGAACCAGCGGGGAACAACGGCTTTTTTGTGCTTCAGATGACGACAAATGAGATTCACATTACGGCTTCTGCTCAAATACCAGAACATCCTTCTCTGGGTCTATTCTTGTAATATTGCCACATGGACAGATTTATGAAATAACAGGAAGAAATGGAAGCCTGCTGTCCAATGTTTTACTCTCGGAACAGAAGAGTTACATTTTCAGAGTCTTGACTTCAGTACAGTTATAACAAGCTAATAAGATTTAAAAAAACATTTATTTTTCTTTAAAGAAGTATAGAAAAGTGCGTCAGAAGAGAGCGGGAGGGATCCCGCTTCCAAACAGGAGGCTCCAGGAAGTGGGAATCTTCCACTTTCCGCTCGGCTCGTGGCTCTGAAACGAGAATTGCAGAAAGAGGATAGCTGTAACCTGAAACCGGCTAGTTCTGCCCCTGATTGGCCTAAAAAATAACAGCTGAGGAGGTTCACGGGAACCTGTGCGTGTGTGCGTGTGTGTGTGTGTGTGTCCTCGCTTGCCTGGTGGTGCAGCAGGTGGAGCCAGTCGTTGAGGTGGTTGACCAGGGCGAAGGCGTCGGGGATGTTGTCGCCTTCTGAGCAGAAGAGCAGCAGCACGGCCAGCGGGAGGTCATCTGCACAGCTGGACACATTCACAGCACACGGGATCAGATATGAGAGAAAAATAAAGATTTAAAATAATAATATCTCTGCAGCAAGGAAGGTTTTGTTTTTCTACTTTTTGCTGTTTTTCCCCTAAAGTTAAGCATTTTCCCTTTTAAAAAAAAAGAAAAAATGACCCAATGCTGAAAGACTTATAATAAAATAAAACATTTGGCTCTAAAAGGAGCCCGTGCTTCTGATAGCTTCGGGTGTCTGTCTCCACCTGTCTGTGTAGAGGCCTTTGGTGATGCCTCCACCGGGGATGTAAAGCCTCGGCTCCGAACTGGCGTCCGCCACGCCAGGGAAGGCCGTCACCTTCTCCATCTCCCTCCAGCCCAGCTGCTTCAGAGCGTCCCCGCTCCCCTTCAGCAGGGAGGGGGTGGCCAGGTACCTCAGGGGAGACCTGCGTGGGAAATCTGGGCGTCAGTGCCAACGGTAAGTGTCTAAAGGCACAACGGAGAGGATGGCGAGGGCCCGCCTACCCCTGCAGCTGCTGGTCGTCCCTCTGGTAGGCGTGGCTGCTGGAGAGAACCACAGTCCGGGAGAAACCGCTGGCTTTGATCCAAGACAAAAGCTGCTGACGGAACCTTTTGGACTTTGTCTGTAGCGACAGGTAAGTTAGACCATTTCTACTTTTTTGTCACATTCCCAAAACCCCAAAAACTGTGGACTTACCTGAACGATTGGAGCTCTGATCTGAAGAACAGCCAGCTTAAGTTCCGCTGCCGTGTATACTGTGGGTGACATGTTCATTTCAGATAGAATATAATTTCTTTTCAACTCACAAAAATAAAGTTTTTACACAGCAGATGGTCTTATCGTCGTTAAAGGACTCCTAACGGCGATCTGACGCCACCTTCGGCAGCAGTGTGCAGCTCGTCAGCGTCTTCTTTGCAGGTGGCGTAGGGGTTGTTTCCAGCCATGGGGATGAGACAGTCCGTGTGGAAGTAGCCCACTCGGCTCATGTTGAGAGTGGACACAATGAGGTCGACCGCCAGCTGACCCACGTTACCCACAGCCACAGCTGGCTGGGGGATGAAGAAGGGGAAAAAAAAAAACACAGACAGGTCATAATTCTTCCTTCGAAAACGTCTAGTTACAAGTCTTCACTGTGCTCTTTTAGCCTGTAAAAGATGTAAATAAATCTACATAAATGTAATTCTTGGGTCTGGATTTGTAGGTTGGAGGAATCTAACAACTTTAACTTCAAAGTTATGAGTTGCAAACATGTTAATATTTAAATAAGTTACTTAAACAAACAGCAACCAATAACATAATTATCCATCAATGCAAATTGCCTTTTTTTGTCTTTAATAAAAATTGCTTATCCATTTTTAAACACACTGAGCTACATGTCTCTTTTCAATTCTATATCTGAGATTTTATTTTTCTCAAAAGCACGAGAGGCATTATGATTGAAAAAACCAACACGGTGTTCACTTTTATGGGTATTTATTAAGTGACACGGCTACATGTTTCAGGGAAATGTATTAATAGCCTTTGGTGAAGTTTACAAACTCACCATGACGAGGGTGAAATCTTTCAAGGCGGGCGAAGAGTTTTCTGAAGAAACAAACATGGCGACGTTGCAAGAGCAGACAGGCAGAAACAGAAATTTGATATTTAAAATGTAAAGTACTAGATAAACTAATCTCTTAAGATTGATTTTGAAACCGCTTCATGCCTAGTGCTGGAGTGGACCTTCTTGGCCAACGAGTCGAATATTGATGATTAAACGGTTTTAGAGATTTTGGAGAATGCCTGAATAAAATGTGACGGCGAAGCGAAATTTATTTTTCGAATAAAGTAACATTTCTTATCATTTGTGTTTTTTTAGAGTTCTACATTTTAATGCGTTTACATTCAAGGTTTAATTCAAATTATCTTTATATTAGTCCAAAAATTATAATTGTGATCAGGCATATAGTGGGACGAACTCTACAAAGACGAAAACGTCACGTAGAGATTGTCAACTCTTGTTTTTCATAGTCGGTGAAGTTTCGCTTTAGTCAGTCTCAAGACCATAAATAATAACAACGTTTAATATTTTTATTGTTTCTCGTTCGATCTAATGTTATGATATCACATGATATTACAATATAACATTTATGAACACATGGCCTAAGACAAATGACTCCATAGTGTTTGATCACTTTTAAGATTTCAATACAAATGTGTATCCATTGTAATTATTATCATCAAATAGTATTGCAGTGCATATGCAGTAAATTCAAATGATTATTGCACCGGTCTTGTGGCTGTCTGATTTGATCACATTTACTTCAAAATGAAAAGTCCATCCATAGCCTATAATTCTGTGCTCTCTGATCTTTTTTTAAAGTAGAGGAAAAACAACAAAAAACTAAGTTGCTAAGGTAATATTAATGTGCTTGCGTTAAACTTGCTGCTATCAAATATATAAGTGATTGTGAGCACTGAGAAAATTGCGAAAACTGTTAAAGAACCTCAACAAATCAGAGCCATCCAAAATGCAACCAAAGTGGTTAAAAATATACGAGAGGCTCATCAAGCCGAAATCAAACATGGTCTAATATATAACATATTCACTCACACAGACTATCCCTGTGTCACAAACAATACTACCTCTTATACATACTATTCGAAGATATGAATAATGCAACTTTTATGCTGTACACTGATGTGATCTCATTCAAATTCGGACTGCCTGAAGAAAAAAATAAGTAAATGCTGATCCTTTGAAAGTCCATGGAATATGTCAGCCTGCAGACACTAGGTGTTTTGGGCTTTGTTTTGTGAGAGAAAATACCAATGTGAGCTGGAAATAGCTAAGGCTTGTCTTGTATTTTTAGAGTTTCCCCATAGAAAAATATATTACATGAATTTAAGGGGAATTTCATTGAAAAAATGAAGGTCTAAATTATGGTTATTCTGTTCTAAATCTCTAAAAAACAAGTTTGGATTAGCTCTAAAAGCATGGGCTTTCAAAATATGACACTTAAAAAAAGAGTACACAACATAGAAGTAACTCTATTCATAACCTGGAATACGTAAATATATAGGAGTTTACTCGTGAAACAGAATGTCTGTGTGAGACCAAATCCGAATTGTAGCTCAGGGAGTCTGACAAGAAAACACTGGTCAGTCCAAACAGGTCATGTGAGTTTAGTCACTTAGGAGTGACTTCATTGGGGACAGGGAGGCCTTTCACAGCAGCAGCAGCGCTTTCTACCATCCTCTCCACCATTCTTCTCATCGTGGCGTATGTGTTGGTCCCAACGTGGGGGGTGATCAACACATTGGGGAGGCTGAGGAGAGGATGATCCCTGCACACACCAAGCCATTATCAGCTCAATACTCAGTTGCTTTTACCTTCATTTTATCAACGTTTTAGCAATTCAAACAGTTGATGTAAATAATGAGTGTGAAGGCTGACACACAAATGAAGAGTGTGGGTGTTTTTCCGAGGACTCCTACCTGGGTAGCGGTTCAGGGTGAGTCACATCCAGAGCTGCTGCTCTGATAGCTCCGGTCTGCAGAGCTTTGACCAAAGCGTCCTGGTCCACAACCAGACCTGTAGTCATTTTGACAGCATCAGAATGAATTTAAAAAACGCTGTTTCCCAATAGATTGAATCGGCGACAGGCGTCACTCCCACCTCTGCTCACGTTGACGAGCGTTGCGGAGGGCTTCATGAGGGACAGCTCCCTGTGGCTGATCAGGCCCGTGGTCTCAGGGGTCAGGTTGACCACCAGCACCACAAAATCCGCCTCCCTCAGCAGATCTTCCATGGCCTCGCAGTAGGTTGCTCCCACCGCCTGCTCGTCCTCAACACTCCTGTGTACAAGAAAGAAAACCGGTTTCTTGATTTTTGTTTTCTCTTTTGCTTTTTTTATATTTCCAATTCCTAAATTGAGCAGCAACAATCAAGTCATCCCAGCGAGCCTCATTTTGATCTTCCCCGAAATCTAAAGGGAGACTGTGCTGTTTGCTTTAGGTTTTACCTTCTGTGCCTGTTGTGATACAAGATTCTCATGTCAAAGCCTTTGCTTCTTTGAGCAATTTTGTAACCGATGTGTCCCATTCCAATGATTCCCAAAGTCGATCCCGTAACTTCGACACCCATCAGGCTTTGCGGTATGTGGGTGGTCCTGGGGTCAACGGCTACAAGGTGGCCTATGAGGTGACAAACCAAAAGACTTTCACTCTTAGCATCCTTTAAGCGTCCTGACCTACAGCCCATCGATCCATCTCATTCAAATCCTTGCATTTGATATAGCAAAGCAGAAAGGGAATTATTAGTGATATTGAAAATGTAGGCAGCGTGGTGGTGTAATGGTTAGCACTGTCGCCTCACAGCAAGAAGGTTCTGGGTTCCAGTCCTCAGGGGACCCAGGACCTTTCTGTTTGGAGTTAGCATGTTCTACCTGTGTCTGCATGGGTTCTCTCCGGGTTCTACGGCTTCCTCCCATTGTCCAAAAATCTGCATGTCAGGTTGATTGGACATTCCAAATTGCCCTTAGGAGTGAGTGGAAGTGTGTATGGTTGTGTGTCTCTGTGTGGCCCTGTGATGGACTGGCGGATCGTCCAGGGTGGACCCCGCCTCTCGTCCGTTGACCACTCGAATAGGCTCCAGTTCTCCTTGCGACCCCATTAGGGAATAAGCGGTAACGATAACGGATGGATGGATTGAAAATGTTATCAGGTTTGACTAAATTAGCTTAGCTGATCTCACCCTCCACAATCTTGCGCGCCGACGCCAGAAGCAGGCCCATGGCCATGTCCGCGGTGGCGTCGCTGACCACGCCGGGCGTGTTGGTCACCTTCACGCCGAGGCCGTTGATGTAGGGCACGTCGAGGTGGTCGATGCCCACCCCCCCGCTGGAGACCACTTTGAGCGAGGGCAGGGAGCCCAGCAGCGCCGGCTCGGCGGGGGGGCAGGCGTTCCACACGAACAGGGCCTGGATTTTTGGGCCGTGCGAGCGAGCGTTTTCCAGAAAGTCTCTGTAGCAGACGATGCGGAAGTGCCGTTTCATAATGTCCGTGACCTCCTCGAGGTAACCCCGCTCACCCACCTCTGAGATCAGAGCCCACGGCTTGTCGTCCGCCATCACCTGCTGGGACGAGAACAGAAGTGGATCCAAACATTTTTGTTTGGAAGAAATAAGCTCATGTAGATTCTGCTCAGTTTCTTGATCTAAAACTTAGGTCAATTATACCCTTTTTTTTTAAACTTTGTATAACAGAAAAAGAGGTACTACATAATTTCAAGGCGCAGCTTGAAACTTTGACCTGCCACACTTATCAATGACAGTTTTTAAAAAAGCGCTGACAGCTGAGGTGAATAACAATGATTGTCTTGTCAGAACGGCAGTGGGTGACTGGTAAATGATCACTTCTTGAAGTTGATGTGCTGAAAACTGGAGAAAATCTGCAGGAAGAGAATTTCTGCTCTCAACTCTAATAAGGACTGAATGTATTGAGTAGATGTACATTTTCAGAACAAAAAGAGGCTACATATACATTAATACATACATATACCATTTTTATTCAGTTCTTCATGAATGCTTTTAAAGCAAAGATTGAATTAGATCACACATTTTTACTTTCCAATTTCTATGAAATATGTAGAGGGAAAATCATGTAATCAGAGTAAATTTCTGCTATTTATTTGTCTTTGTGTCCCTCCTGTGAAAATATTCCATTTGATTTTTCTCACATCAGTACTGTGTATCATATTTGTTGGTTAATATTTAAAGAATAATACATTTAAGGTGTTTCTGGATTAAGAATAAGCAATTCGTAAATATTTACAAACCCTGGGAACAGACCTGAGTGTGCTCACAAATGTTTCTCTTTCTTACTTCCTGTGTTAGCTGTGAACCAGGAAGTACTTCTCATAGTTTGGAGGATTTCAAAATATGAGCGTTACACCAGATAGAGGTATCTATGACTGAAGCTGTTCAACTACATGTAACACAAGTATTTCTGCAACCTTCTGATAAAAACTAAAAGGAATGATAAAGATAATGAGGCACTTCTAAACTATGTATATGTATAACTGATGAACAAAAGGATTTTACCAGCATCCTCTGTCACCGAGTTGAAAACATCAACCTGAGTTTAACATTTACCAGTACAAAGTGTGCTGTGGATGTCTAACTTTGGCCAAGGCCTCTCTTTAGATTACTTTTTAAAATCTGTACTGTAAACAATCTGGATAGAACGTACTGTGCCTTCACACTTTGCGTTGCATTTGCTTAGGCTCATTTTCTGTCTTAATCCAAACTATTATTAATTTTCCTCATTTTCACAGCTGTGTAAGACAAGTCTTTGTAACATGGGGGATTGTTTTGTGTGTGACATGAAAATTCTTCCTGGGATGTTTTATCTTCAGTGGCATGAAATTGTATATTTCTAAACTAAAGATTTCTTACTTTTTAACAATCAATTTACCTTCTGAAAAAAGATAATGACAGAACAACACTTAGAATCATTATCAATCTGACAACCAATTTCTTAGATAAAATACAATTCAGTTCGTAAAATCAACGTATTAATTTAAGATTATGATTCCTGTGCAGCCTGTTTCATCATCTAGGAATTTTATGTGCATAAACACATCTTTTCTATTATCAGTAAAACACTACATAAATATAAGCTGTTTGTATCAGGGCAAATGTTGGTGAAAAGATAAAGTAACGTTTACTTTTCAACATGTACTGCTCGGAACAAGTTACAAAGGGGTTGACAGGGTTTACAGTCAAGGGAAAATGTAGCTTTCTGTGGAAATTGAACGTCAGTTCTGCACTTTTATTGCAAACTCCTAAACTGGTAACTTGAAAAGGAGACTGAACCAGTCCACCCTTAACACAAACTGTACATTACCTTTTTCTGATGCAGATGTTGCACAGATGTGTGCAGACTGGTCACGGTAAAAACCCTGGATGTTTGTGCTGGAGCCCACAGTTTTGTCACACACCGGTAGTAGTTGAGATATCGCATTCTAGTGGGTAGGTTATTGAAAGAGTAAAAAAGTAGTTGAATAATGTTACACTGCTGAAAAACTGTAGAAGTGTGGAAATAAACAGCAAATGATATTGGTTTGGTGTTCAAATTGGACAAAAATGCGGTCGAAATATAGACCTGCAGTATACATGCAAAAAATGCTCTTTCAAGAAATAATTAGACAGTCCAATTTCCAAATGAAGATTAATATATTACTTTTGGGTCAAATATGTGGGGGAAAAAAGAGTGTCCTCAGAGTAAAAATGCATCAACAAATAATGTACAGCCCATACCTTTGTAGAAAGTTGTTCTCACTCCTAGTTTTTCCTAAACAGGCAATAAATTGTGTCCTGATCTAGATAAGCGTTTCACAGAATAAACTTAAAATCCATTTAAAAGGCTACAGAGGGCCATCTACTCCTTCTGGCACTTCGAGAAAGGGAAGAATTCATTGAGCACATTGACTGGTCAGGCAAGGCTCTGGGTTGGTTATTGAGGCACAAAACCAAGCGATCAAAGGTCATTAACCCCCCCCCCCCCCACTGCCCATAAAGCGGCAGCGGTACATGTAACTGATTATATCTGCTTCAACTATTTTTCCAGTCACTTCTCAGAATATTAGGTTTGTCATGTCACCATCAAAGAATCTGGAAGGAATTTCAGCTTCAGTTTGTTGAAAACTAATTATTACCAAAGGGAATACACTGTAGCAAAAGACAATAATTACAAAAGCAGAATGCTTTGAGAGAGGGAATTAATGTTAATGGGAGAGGTTGTCAGAAAAAATAAGAAATACATAAATATTTAACAATACATAAATAGAAATATATACAAAAGATGGAGCACAAAAATTAAATGCAAAAAAACAGAGTTATGGGTCCAAAAATGTGTTTGTGTAATCTGAATTTCATTCAGTGGCACCACAAACTGCAGCTGGACAGAGAGGAAGAAAAGAAAGGCAAGATAGAAGGAAACCAATGAGATGGAATAGAAGAAGAAAAGGGTTTGACAAAGCCTTCTTAACCATTTTTTGGTGTGTTTGTCTGCAAAGTAAAGCTGAGAGTAGATACGGATCAGTTAGCGTGCTGAAGAAACTGAACTGGATCCATGAGATGCGTTCATTCTGGGGTGAAACCGACACTGTTGGTGAATTAGCTTCTGTTTAAGTTCCTCCACAGCTTAAATACATTACTGTACAGTGTTTCTTTTACAGCGTTAATATTATTTTGTACCTCCACTAGGTGGCATTACCATATCAACATGTGCCTGTGAGGGAGCACCTGCTTACTCCTCACTGATCAAACTCTGCTCATCCTTATCAGGGAAACAAACTTTAATCTCGTTGTATGAACAGGAAATCTGCTGGTGCTACTTATGTCGGTCTTCCTTGAAGCAAAGAAAACATCTAATTAAAGTAACAAGACTGGTAAAAGTAACCCAGATTAACCCCATACGGCTTCATCCGAGGAGACTAGTTCAATCAAATCAAATACATTGAAGCAACTAAAATGTATTGGGTGTAAATAACAGAACTGATTTAGAAAAACAGCTAGAACAAATAACTGAACAAGCCCAAACAACCCACATATACTGTACATCATATGCAAGCTTATTTATAGTCAGTGTGCCCTGTTCCCTATATAAGTAAGGATGATGTGTAAAACGAAGGGGAATAAAGGTTGGAGGTTTGACTCGGATGTTGCGTTTAGGTGGAAGGTAGCATGATGGATGAAAGGAAAGGCCCAGAGTCTGGCGGAGGGCTTTTGTTGAGGTTTGATGGGAAGGATGTGAGACGCTTGATGCACAATGAAAAAATGACTGCAGAGGCGAGGAGAGGAGTGACACATATAATGCATTTATTAAACCATCCACATTTTCAACGTGGAAGGTTTTACACGTGGGGACAGAGGAGAGTGGAAAACCATAAATGTAATGCATCATTGTCACATCATTAGTTGGAAACACTTCCGTTTTATTGTTAACAGATATTTTTGTCTCTCCGTAAGTTAAACTATTGATGTGTTCCAAAATTAGTACAAACTAAGAATGTGCTAAATTTCTCATGATCTGATGGGAGGCGGGTTCTTTAATTGTAGTGTAGTTTTAAATAGCCTCCATTACTCACTCGTCTCCAGAAACAGAAGTTATTATTTTATTTTTTTTAGATGAAATTGAAGTTTTCTAATTAAGGGATTCTTTAAGGACACGGTCTCTTTAACCCAAACTGGTAGCTGGTACTGGGGATGAGAATCTAGCTTAGATTCGATGTGATTGTGCATGTGTGTGTCTTCGTGGGTCACAGCATTGGGGATGGCCATGTGTAGGCAGCCGCGGATCAGCAGCTTACCCTCCTCCCTGTTGCATAATCTTTCCACCTTTTAACGTGAGGTGTCTCCTCCTCCTTCCCTTCCTTTATCCCCTCCATCATCCTCATCACCTGTTTCTGCCTTCCACCTCTCGCCCCCCACCTTCCCTCACCTCATCTGTCCTCCTCTTGCCTACCGTTTCCCCTCCCGTCCAGGACCAACTCCCCGCGAAGGCTATAAGATTGTGAACTTAAACGGCAAAGGGCAAATTTAGCCTTTCATTAAGCTGGTTGAAACCTCCGGCCAAGCTCCACCGCCTCCTTCTGCCATGTCAAACAGCAGGTGGCTTTTGTAGCAAAGTGCTGACTCATTTAATAGATAGCAGTGGTAGCTTTGCTTCATTTTGGTTTACGTTGTCAGGGCCCCCTCTCAGATATCACGAGAGCATGACTCATCACTTCGCATCGATAGGATAGCCATCTTATGAAAAATGCAAATAAGTGGCTGAAGAGGCTTTGTTTCCACGCGTTCCCCGCCCTCGCTGTCACAGTATTTACGGCGTCCCATGTCGGAGTCTCGTGTCTCCAGACGTTTTTTTTTTTTTTAAGCCTGACCTGTGATGCCACACTTGTCACGGTACAGTGCAGAGAGACTCTGAAGCTAAAAGTCCCCGAGTAAAGTCCCTCACACGGTGCTGACGTATGTCCACGGCCCATCCTGACTCAGCTCATCTGCCTTCAGTGCTCTTTCAGAGGGTCAAAATAAGGAAAATCAAACAGAGTAAATGGTATCATGTCAGTAATTGTTATCTGTTTTCTACTTGCAGAGGCAAGAACATCCTGATGAAGATTGATCTGATCAAACATGATCACCAGTGAACTGTATTGATGATAATAACATTTTCTCCGCTGATAAAATGACACAATTGCTGAGTGATCACTAATGTATTTACATGCTGTGTTATGCTTGATGGACTTCTCATTATATTACTTTTGGAATTGAGTGACAGTCTTATGTGATGCATACTAGTAAGCTGCCTTGGATCTGAATGAATACGCATGAATTAAAGAAAAGATGTTGAACTCTGATATACCTTTTAAAACAGGTAATACAAAACATATCAGTATCCAGTGTTTTTTATTGTATGTTTTATATGGGTATAAAGTTGTATATGTTAAGAACAGGGCTTTTCTAATAAACTGGTGTTAATGATTTTCATTCTTATTAAATACCAACACCATACTGAAAATGCTCAAGTGACAATATTGTGATTAAGCTATCAATTATCTTTTGATATGGTTAGACATTTGCTTATATGATTGCTTTTGACATGATTGTTATGCAGTAAAAAGGAAATATAATGAATTTAATAATATAGAAAAATCCTAAATCCTAAACTTTTCCTGATGAATGTGACTTTATATTTGTTTGGGCCTCGCACAGAGAATTCTCCTGCAGGACAGTGTTCAAACAGTGAGAATTTAGACCCTGGGAGTCTTTTCCACTTGGGTTTTCCTCCTTTTTTCTTAATCTTGTCCCACCAGGGCTGGTCCCGGACAGCTTCCGAGGACTTCCCCCTCCTGCAGGTGCTGCCAAAAAGTACACACACATGCATACAGATCTGACACCTGCGTTTCTCTGAGGCTTCTGAAGAAGCTCGACATGCAGCCCTCAGCATGTCCTGGTTGAGAATAAATTCACCTGCTGGGTAATCCAGTTCGCCTGAGCATTAGTCCGCTGCTCATGACGCACAGCTTGTTTTGTCTTGTTTTCTGTCCGCCGGGGATCATCTGCTCTTCTCATCTGCTCTTCTCTGATGCCTTTTGAGCTCTGCTTTGAGTGTTCACTTGAAACGAACAAAGCATTTCAACACATGCATTACCCCAACGTGCAGTTTGACCAAGTGCTTTCAGAAACTTCTTGAAAAAAGACATCATCATTATTCCTGTGTTACTTAGTGGGGAATGCAGCACCCACACTCACGGCTTTAATGCATCCTTATGTGTGAATTTACATGTTGAAAATGTGCAACTTTACCAAAATCTCAACTTAAAAAGTCCTATCTCTGAGAAGGTTAGTATATTTGAGGCTGCCTGAAAGCTAAGCTCACCACAAAACGTATGCTTCCCTCTAAGCAGGCACTGCGAACGCACGGTTGACTGTCCTGGTTAGGTAAGAGATAATCAGAAAAGAGGAGGTTGTTGGTTCTTTACCCTGCAGCTCAGAGGTTTCTCCAACCTGCACCTGCCGCTTAGTCTCTAAAGACGCGTTACCTAATGACAGAACCCGTGCAGAGCCATGGGCCCACTGATTTAAAGGGTGCCTGTCAAGTTCAAAGACTCTTGGCAGTTGAGCAATGGCACAGCAGGCATCACTGTAATGTGTGTGTGTGTGTGCATGTTAATGCATGAAGGATGGAGTTGGGGTTTGCTGTTCAGATCAATGTTATGCAAACCTATTAGTCCGAGGTTGCAGTACTCAGAGATTCTGCCTCGGGGTCAAACTGACCAATGAGCCCTCACCTCTTTTAGGAGAGAATAACATGTTTTTCTGCTGATTAAATACCCCTTGTAATGTTAACTAATGCTACATATTGCATTACTAACCAATTAATCTTGCATGTTATTTTTGCATTCTGAGAGGGACCATCAATGAATTAATTAATTTGAATATGCATTTGATTATGTTAATGATGTATCAATCAATCATTTTACTCCTGGACTTTTATTTTGTATGTCTAAAAATCAACTAGTTTTACATCATTTGCAGAATTATGTTCAAAATCAATTTGCAAACAGTACTATTCATTATTCAAATGCATATTGCAAACACAGACAACACTTTTTTTACTTTTGGCAAATGACTCACAGCAACAAAACCAACCCAACTGCATCCGCACAGACCGAAACGTTTATAGTGCATTTTGTGGTAACAAGAATAACCATTCAGTAGTATGCTCTCATCATTCATGCAGCTGTCATAACGTAGCTCCTGAATCTGACTGCAAGTTTTCATAGTGTTTATTGATTTTCGGCAATATCAAAAAAGGCTGTGAAAAATAAAATTTCAGCTCACCGGAACTGAAATTATGTCTGTTGTTTGCATAGGTCGTTAAACTTCAATGTTTGCTTTTTGCATGTAATGGATCATTGTAAACTATGTCTGTGTGATCAGTGTTTTGCTGACTCAACCTGAGGGAGGGGTTCTCAGTGTACTTTATAAGGCCATTAAGAAAGCGCTCTTGGAACAGCGGCTGAATAAGCCCTGTGGCTTTGACTTCCACTAATCATCTTAGGCAAAGCATGCCTCCCAATGTGCCTGTGTGAGAACACCTGTACTGTGCAAAAGCAAATGCATGGTGGTTATAATCACAAGCTCCCATGGCCATCTTCATACATTACTTAGAAATAAGTGAGGTTATTACAAACCCTAACCATGCTCTCACTTTTGCAGAACTCACAGTCTGCAAGCAAATTTATATTCATTTTCAGAGAAAAACATCATATCAAGTTTAATACAAAGAATGCATGTAAAACCAAGCCAAAAAATATCTTTACATGTAGTCTAAGATAATTATACATATACCGCCCTGCAGTTTGTGCAGTTATGCTCGTGCTAAGCTAAATAACGTATTTTTTAAAGCTTTGAATAGGACATTAAATTAATTCTCTTGAGAAGAACCAGTTCAAATTCATCCAATACAGGCCCCTCAAAATATGCAACCATTCCAGATTTTAGTAACAACAAAAGTTTAATTTGTCAAGGGATTTCATACATATTAAATATGCACATATGAATATATTTGTCATCAAAGCACATTTAAATCAAGAGAGTATAAAATACATGAATAGTTTTGATGGTGTTCTGTGTTAATTTGTGGAGCTTTATCATGTCATTAAGTGGCCTTAAAACTTGGTGTTAAAGTTTACCTTTTTTCCTGAGACAAACATATAAAAAGCCGAATCTCAATATTGTCGGTCTTCACTACTCATATTAGGACTCTTGCTTGTAGAAATTTATAGAAATCCAACAACTTCTGGACACATTTTTTACATACTAATGACCGTTCATGCGACAGGCTCCTGTTGCCAAGACAACGTCGCTCCCCATTGGCCCACGCCGCGCCACGTGACGCACGGTCTTGACGTCACGGTGAGAGGCTGCGGGGCTAAGCGGAGTCTGAGCAGCGGCTCAGGAAACTGTCTGCTGGAGTTTGGACTGAGTGCAGCCGGGAAGTACAGCTCCTCTGTGGCTTCTGCAACACCCTGTTAGTTCCTCAGAAACTTTTACTCTCCTTCCCATTGAACGCGAGGTAATGGACTATTAAGGGAAACTTTTCACCACGTCTTCTACAACAACTTAAAAGCGAGGTAAGTTGTGGCTAACGAGTCCCCCCTCCTGAGTTTACCCCGCTTCCTGATACTTTATTTATTTTTCACGCGAAGGTGAGATGAGTTTTCAGGTTAAACAAATGTCCTTGGAGGATTAAACTGTTGCCGCTACTCTCATTTAGCAAGGTTTTGTCTTCAGGGGAACAATTCCTCCACATTTTCCTGCAGAAGTTTGCTTATGCGATGCTAGCAGCGGATAAAGCTTCACCTACATTTCTAATCGGATGAAGCTGCTCCTTTACATCCTCAATAAACCCCTCAGAGACACAGGAGAGGTCTTCGTTACCTTTACTTTTTTTATCTGGAAATGAGTGAGAACAGGAAGTGGAAAAAAAGGGAGTCCTGCGACCACACAAGGCTGAGTAGTGCAGGGTATCTCATTTCAGCAAACACACATCAGTCAGTCAGTGGATTAATGCAGGAGGCTGGGGGAGGAAGCTCTTATTGACGGCCTTTACCTTGACAAATGAGTGGAAATATTTGTTTATCTTGATGATTCAACCTCTACGTGTTCTATGTATTGAGAGGACCGTTTTTATTTATTTTTTACTGTGGTTATGTGTTCTAACTTGCAGTCATTTGCTTGACATGTCAGTTATTGCCCACGTTGTTCTGCACATGATTCTTGGCGTGGGGAGTAAAATGGTTAAAACAAGGGGGGAAAAAACACCCTGTAAGCTGTTATTCAGCAATAGGAGAAGCTTGGTGGTAGTATAATAAAAATATGGACATTTTAAACTACTAAATTTGAATCTAATGCCATATATATAAAGGGATTAGGTCTAACTTAATCAAGCGTTCATGAACCACCCTGTGATTCACTCTGAGATCATTATGTGCGAGCAAAATTCGAATAAAATGCCCAAGAAGAGATCTTTTTTAAAATGATTAGTTTTTCTTGCAAAAGCATAGACTTATATTGGGATTTAATGGAAACAAATTAAGGATGGATTATTGATTATTCCATCGTACTCATTTAAAAAACAAAGTTATGATTGTTGAACACTAGAACATTCCTATAATGATTTGTTGCTCTTCTCTCTGTAGGAGTTTACAGACACAATAATTAAACATGGGCAATTAACGACATTAGATTTGTGTTCAGACAGTTGAGCAGCCGAAGCTTCAAAAGGGAGGGGGGGAGCTGATGAATATTAAATGGAATTAGTTTGACACGGGGTGTAAACACGAACAAATCATTGTTGAATTAGTTAGTCCCGCTGAAATTCTCATAAGGGCATCAGAGATGTGGTTTGAAAACAAAAGAACGGCTACAAATCGACACCAAAACGGGCACGTAAGTGCTACTGTGAGAGGAAAAGGTCGGGCTTACTGATTCAGTTGAAACATTTAGATGCAGGAAATGAGAGGAAGGAGGCTCGGTGGCTGAAAACTACCGCTAACACGCAGCTGCTCGGCTTCCAAACTTCTGATTTGATTTTGGTAATTCAACAACTCGAGCTGCCAATAAAACAGAGCAGGAAAATTGGAAGACCTGCCGAGGTGTCGACGCAAGGGTGGAGTCACGATAATAGCCACTAAAGGATCCCCCCCAAACATTTCAAGATGCCGAATTCCGACGAGTCTCTGCTAAATTTGAACAGATGTTCTATTCCTGTCTGAGTGGGTGTCTTGAGGGTTTGTTTTGGGCCAGGCTGACCGCACTGGCAGCGTGGCCTGTAGTTAGGCTCATCTCGGCAGCAGTCGGAGCTCTTTTGAATTGAATTACGCCGTTTGTACAGAAGGCAGCGGAGAGAGTGATGGGGCGAAAGCAAGGATGGGTGCAACATTAAACTTAGGGAAGCGAGGGAGAGCAAGCAGGACGGAGATCAAGAATCAGGCTGAAAAACAGATTATGGCCTGTCACATTGATAATATTGTGACCAGAGGGCTGCATTTCTCCCGTGGCGCGCTGCAGATTTCTCTGACAGAGAAGGATGGGATGTGTTCAGTCATCAGATTGACATTTCCATCACTGTAGCCATTTGTCTCTCACACTGGCTCTTGGAGAGAGGAACACATTTAGATATTCTGTGAAAAATACACGGCTCTCTTCCCCCATATAATCAGTAGCAATTTGCCGTGAGTGTTTGTCCAAGCCTCAGTGTGTTGTGCAGCTCCGCTCTCCCTCTCGCAGCCTCTGTCAGTGACGCGTTTTTATCTTGTTCTCATTCTCTCCCTCATAATGGCTTCAGTGTCATGATTGTGGTTTTCTGCAGTGTCTTGACGCACAAAGCTCACAATGGGAGCTCATGTGTGCTGCATTATGATGAAGTCGCTGTCTGGGGTTTCTTAAATGCAGAGGGGATTATATATATGATTTTAAATGGAATTTGAAGAAGGAAAGAAATTATCCATATAGGGTTATGAGGGTAAATCACATCAGGGGTTAAAGGTTTTGTGTCAGTGAACCCCAGTGCCTGTTGACTTGTAATTGCCATTTTACACCAATGATCAAGCAAAAGGCAGAAAAAGGAATTGGCTGACAAAACTTATGTTTATCACATAATTTTTGTGTGATAAACCTCAAGACGTGCACAATCAATGTCAATCGTTTAGCTTTTTTGTCTGAAAGACTGAAACATGAGATCAGCTATCTAAGGACCTGCAAATGATTTCTATTAATGGACTTATTGGTTAATCGGATCTGTTTTTTACAGTGTGACAGGAGTGTTGGCGTCATACAATCCTCTTTCAACCAACCAGAGAACTGTATTACTGTATGAAACGGGCCTTTTTCTTTTTCAGAATGCCCATCTTCCAAAGTAATTTCTCCAAAATGTTTTCACCCATTGTTGTTCTTTTTTTTTTTCTTCTTCCTCTTTTCTTTTGGGGTCTACCAAAGACTCTCCTCAGACTGCAGTACAGATTGCTCCTGTAGTGGTCCAGCTCCTGCAGATTGAGTTGCAGTTGGACATTTGAGGAGTCCCTGAAGCTCGGATCTTAGAATGCACGACGCCTCGGCACTTGTAACGCGAGCATGCGTGCCCCCAAAGTTATGCGTGGTGGCTTGATCGCAAACGGTCGCTGGGACTTGTTCATAGGTGATCCGAGCCCGATTCGGGTCATAAGCTTTAAAAGGTGTGAACATTTCATCCATCTGCGACAGGTCTGCTGGACCACGTTGTACCGTTTGAGCTTTCTATACTTGGCCGTTTGGGACTGTTTGTTTTTGGTTTGCCTTACAGCATCCCCAGCACGCTCCACCCCTCACAAACAACTTTAAATTAAATCCCAGGAGTACGATGATGTAATTTTGACATGTGCACCACTTTCTGTCTTTTGTTACCGTGTTGAACAACACTGAAGTTGATGCCACGTTTTATACTTTTAAGGCTCTGCTGCACCAAACGTCAGCCATTTCCAGCCTACTAAACTCTCTTTCACTCAGAATGAAATTAGTTTAAAGGAGACTGAACGGATGTGAAATGAATAACTTCTGCCCTGCTGGCTGCTTGAACCTCGTCCAATTCTTTCCTCCGACGTTGGAAAATGAGCCACTGTGCTTCTCTTTTGGCACAACTGCAGCAGAAATGAAACATTTTGGATGTTTTGCTTGGGTTTTTTAATGCATTTTCAAATGAATCAACACAAGAAATCAAACATGTTTTCTTTATCTGATGTTCTGCTCAGATTTTTTTTGCACAAAAAAGGAGTCGGCTTCATTACGTATGGTGCATCAGAGATTTGTATCAGAGAGGAATGCATATCAGTCAATAAACATCAAATATTGGCTGCTGGGTTGCAATTATTGTGCACCACTGAGCACAAATGAGGCAAAGCTGAATTCCTGATAAGTCAGGCAAGTGGCAAAAAAGATAATTTTTACATCAGATGCCTCTAAATGAGGATCCTGTTGAGTGTGGTCTCAAATTGAATTTTTACACGGGCAAATCAGCCTCTCGGTTTCCTCACATTGGTGCTTGGGCTCCTTTGTAAATGTGTGGTTTTATGTAGTTTGTCACAGCTGAGATGAAATTTAACTGCCTGCCGCTGGGGTCAAGAATAGCTGCCCTCAGCTCTGCAAGCGGGTCGCACATGCATCAGATTTCGTTATGAAAGCCTCATTCATAAACTGGCTTTCTGCGATCAGGTCTCTCCCAGTCACAGACGGCCTCCCTCTGCTCCCCTCTGCTCTTGGATTATCTGTTGGACTCTTGCGTTAAGATTTACCTGCAGGATATAAATGGAGACTTGTACCCGTTACATAAGTGGGCAACAAGATGTTCCGGGATTGCGAGGGGCCTCCGATTTAAACGCTAAAGAGCGGCTCGGCCCCCCGTGCCGGGCGAAGAGCGCCCGCACGCCACGCTGCCGTTTGTGTGTTATTTTCTGTTTGCAAGAAGGAGCCGGCCCAGTTTAAATGTCAGAAAACAAGATCACAATTACTTTTGGGACTTTGACAAGATATTTTTAAAATCTTGATCTCTGATCTTGATGAAAAAATTATATATTCAATTCAATTTATATACACAATTCAAAATGCGTGCGGCATATTTGCTAAAATTTGTCCACTTTGCTCAGAACCAATCTTTTTAAAAAAATTTTTTAACTCAAACTATGTCAAATAATTCACACCGTAATGTTTCAGCATCTTTGGTCTCTTCTTATGTTAGTTTATGATATTTATACTATAAATAGGATATAAATGGTGTAAAAAAAAAAAAGTTTTTGTTTGTGTCTTAAGTGTAGTGATGGCCACTTTCGATGCCCCCCCGGCTGTTGGACGCAGCTCGGAGGCATGTCGGCTTAGTATCGTCCAAGCTGGAATATCCTGTCCTCTGCTTAGGTTTTCTTTTTAAAACCGTCTCTGGTGGTCTTGCGTGCAGAACTGAAGTCGACAGCATGTACTTCTCACTTTCACTAAATCTGCACGAGCTGAGGTCAGCCCAGGTCTCCGTGTCTGCCGTCCGCTCACAAGGTCAAGCCGCTGACAACTTTTCTAGTCCTACCCCATCACGGGGGGACTTTGCCTCCAGCATGTGACCTCTCCACTTTCAGAAGGCTGGGTTATGTAACTGTGCCACCACAGGTCCACCGGGAGCAGCAGGTAAGAGTCTTAACGGTTAATTGCGGGCAGTGATCTCACAGATCTAGAAATAGCGAAGATCTTAGGGCGACCGGCTAACGGGATGTCCACTGGAGGTCTGAGTTCACGCCCCGTTATTTCTTATACTTTTGAGACACGCAGACACTCAACCAAACAGGCATCTGATTAAATGATACTAACATGGGGCGTTCTATGTAGGAAGAGTGAGATATCTGATGGGTGGCCAGCTGGCTCAAAGTGGTGGCTCAATGCAAATTTAAAAAAAAAAATGTTTCCCCTAAACTGTTAAGACTCAACTTTTTCTAATGGATGCAATGTGAAAATACAAGCAAATTGAAATTTTCGTTTGATTTGATTGAATTGGGATTAGAATAAAACCATTACCTAAAGGAAGAGGAAACGGGACTTTAATATATCGGCCCTTGGAAGTAAAGAAAACATTATGCCGACATTCAGACGTTGAGTTAATTGTAAAAGTTTTTTTTTAATAATAATAATGCACCGATTTAAAAGAGTGAAATTGCTGATTAATCCTCCTAACAGCTTTGGTTGTTTTTTGTAAAGCCATTAGGCACAGCATCAATTAGCCTTGTCTTCCCTCTCTGTGTTCATTTAGAGCGAATGGAGCTGAGAGCAAACGACACAGCGCAACGTTTCGCCTTTTGCCAGAAGCTCTATTAAACACGAAGCCGTAGTCGCCGCGTAAAAAAGTAATTTGTTTTCTTCTGGCCCACTCACCGCGATAAACAACAGTGATTACATGTCGGTCGCCATGACTACTCGGGGGCCCAATAATCACAGAAACGAACCGCAAGCAATTAAAATGTAAATGTGAGGAAATGTGGTGGTTTTTGCCAGACGGAGAATGACTTTTGAGTTCAGCGAAACGGGCAGAAACTATCTGATTCACTTCAGAGGAACACCGGGCTCTGAAAGAGGCTGATAGCAGACACCAACCAGGCTCAGGCAATGATGTAACATTATCGATACAAGAAGAATGGACTCCTCATTTTAACCCTGTCTAATGGACTCACCTGACCAGTCAAGACGGCTTGTTGTGCCCATGATCCTTTGCTGTTTGATAATTAGTTATCGTGCCTGTAATGGCTGGATTATGCCGGGGCTATTAAATGATTTACCAATCAACTAATGATTTATAACTTCACGTGTTGTCACAGCTTAATGCCGACGGATAACATCCACTCCATGTACACAGTACAAACAGTTTGTTTGCTCAACGGGGATTAAAAAAAAGAAATATTGCTACATAGAAAAATTCTTAGTTCTTGCAACAAAAGCGCAGAAGATTAAAGAGTTACTTGTTAGATGTTTGTCTTACGGCATCCTTCTTCATTGACAGTTCTTTTTTGGAAAATCTGATTTTGGTTTTAGTTATTTTTCCCAGTCATTTAGATTTTTTTTAACAGAAAAAAAATTAACACACGGTTATTACCTGGTCTGGCGCTTTATATGATAAGAAATTCTGAAAAGACTGGTTTTAGTTAGTTTTTTAGTTTAGTTTGTTAGGTTTTTGCTTAGGTTAGACTTGATTAGCCTTTATGTTAACCCACAGAAAAGCTTTGTTTGTGTAATCCCGGCTCTCTGCTGTGGAGGCTTGACGGTTACAGCGAGGGGCTGGTTTAAGGACACACTGTCCAGGCTCATTGTTTGCTGGGCGAATTAAAGGATTACAACAGGGTGTTTTATGGAACGAGTGTGTGAAGAGGAAGATTCGACTATAATTGGTAGACGCACAGAGAGAAACTGGAAGTGGTGTGCGCTCTGCCTCAGTCCACGCGGTGCTATGAAAAGTATCTGAAACAGTTTAGGGAAAAGATTTGATAGTCATTTGGTTTGTATTGCATATTTTTTTCAACTGATACAGTTTCCTTTCACATTTTGGTTTTAATTTACCTCAAATTCATTCTTACAGGTCAGATAAGAAAAGGTATACACACACTGCCTGGTGGTTCAACAAGTATCAGATCTTGCTAACAGGCTTGATGTATATTATTTTAGTGTTTTTCAAGCTGAAATCATATCAGAATTCTGTCTTAAACCTTCAGTGTGTCAGATTTGGAGTCGTTTTGGCTTCAGGTGAGAGACGCCACAACACTGGAAAGACAAAAGCTCCCTTCCTCTTGCTGGAAAACTTGGCTGATCTTATCTGCCGTTATCCCCGGCTGAGCTTTCCACTGCTTCCCCTCGTGTCTGTAGCTTGGAGAGCTCATCAGCAGCCAGCCTGATGAGATAGGGAGCTAAACACATAAGCTGCAGGGTAAATGATGCGCCCCTGCTAACAAATTGTCTCAGAGAAATAAACAATGCTTTTTTTCCCTTCATAGTTAACGTTATTGTGTTTTGTTATAATCTTGCCTTAGTACTGCCTTAGGAAGATATGAGGCAATAAGAACAGCATGAAACCCTCAACAGATGTCTCGGCAACTGATTCGGAGGATGTAAACGTGTGTGCTGAAGTAGCAAGTAGGAAATGGAAGCTGCTTCTGCAGAGCTGCATGCACGGGGTTGTCAGCAGGTGTGGTTGTGCATCTGGAGAAGCTCCACGAGCAAAGATTCGGTGGTCTCTGTTTTCTTTTGCTCGCCATACCCTCACTGCTTTTCTCATGTTTGTTTTCATTTTGTCATGAGATACAGAAAGAGCTGTTTTTTTTAAAAGAAAGTAGGAATAAAAAAAACGAAAAAACACAGTCTCTGGACCTTAAAAAACAACCGATCTATTTCCTCAAAATGCTAAATGATCATCTAAATAAAACATTTACATTTAACATTTATTTATCAGCTGAAGCAGCAAATGATGCCATACAATAGAATCCTAAAGTACCATTTTTACTCAATTATACACATTTGATCAAGTCATTTCCCCCTGAGGGAACATACTGGGTATATGTAATGTCTGGGTGACCTGACCTCTCATAAGTCCAGAAACATAAGCTGGACTCTGTATTCGCTGCATCAGCTTGACTGAAACTTTAAAACACATAAACTGCATCCCACCAGCTCAAGAACCAGATGTTCCCCACTGGAATATTTCACCAAAACAGCTGTCTAATCACCATCAGGTGACTGGACAAGGTACCCAACAGAACATTTTCTCCTACGAGAACAGCCTGTACAGTCTCTCCAGCCCCTCGCCACCTCGGGTTTTTAAAAGATTTTTTTACTCTAACAACCTTTTTTTCTGTCTCTGTGTGTCAGCAGTCCAAAGCGCCGCTGCCCCCCCCCCCCCCTCACCTCCCCCCCAGCCTCCGCACACGCTCGGCAGCAGCAGCAGCAGCAGCCATGGGCAAACAGAACAGCAAGCTCCGCCCGGACGTCATGCAGGACCTGATGGAGAACACCGACTTCACCGAGCACGAGATCACCGAGTGGTACAAGGGCTTCCTGCGGGACTGCCCAAGCGGCGCCCTCTCCATGGAGGAGTTCAAGAAGATCTACGCCAACTTCTTCCCCTACGGCGACGCCTCCAAGTTCGCCGAGCACGTCTTCCGCACCTTCGACGCCAACGGCGACGGCACGATAGACTTCAGGGAGTTCATCATCGCTCTGAGCGTGACGTCCCGCGGCCGGCTGGACCAGAAGCTGAAGTGGGCCTTCAGCATGTACGACCTGGACGGGAACGGCTACATCAGCAAGGCCGAGATGCTGGAGATCGTCACAGTGAGTCTTTGTTTTTGTTTTCATCTATGCCTGCAGCCCGTTAGACTCTCTGCTTCCTCAGCTGCACGCTTTAGCTTCGGGGGAACTCGCAGACCATCCATCGGTCCTTAAAGTCTCCCCGCAGTGAAGCAGCGCTTTTGCTCGACCGTCCGTTCTAAGCTGCTCCATCCCGTAGCCGTCTGCTCCTCGGTCCTGCGCTGATTAGCAGCCCACAGCGGGAAGGAGCAGCTTCTGTGTAACTTTAGGAACCAGCAGTTCTTCTTCGCCGTCCTCGGGCTTCTGTAAAAAAAAAAAAAAATACGCTGACAGTCGACCTCTGAACCCCTTTGCACTTTTTGGCTTACAGCTAACTCGAGCTGCTAGGAAACAACATAAAATCTTTTATATGTTCCTGTTTTTTTATTTTTCTCGAAAGCAAGATGCGTTTCAGAGTCAGGACCAGATTTCTTATCAATTCTTTTTTTGTCAGAAGCCAAATCATCAACTCTTACTCAGGAAAACGGAGAGCGAGACACTAGATGGAAACACGGGTTTAGCAAAAAGACCTCAGTGGCTACTTTGTAAACCTGTTCCTCGTCAGAAATGGGGAGAAAACGATCACAGACAGCTTTTCAGGATGCTGTCAAAGTGTTCAAACGTGCGTTAATGATAAGAAAACGAGGGGTCATCTGTGAAGGAGCTGAGCGGTCCTCCGGAGAAGTTAAGAATAAACCAGCGAGTTGTTCAAATGTAATAAAAACCACCAATGGTCCAGATTTATACTGATGTAATGATGTGGTTAGCCCTGACTCAAGATTTTAAAAATAGTCTGAATCTGTAAATCTGATCAAATGATAACAAATGAAGTGTCTCTATGTTTCGCCGTCTATTTTAAAAGCCTCCCGACCACACTGTTTTGACACGAACCCCCCCCCCCCCCGTTTGTTTCTCCACACGTAATCCAGCCGGCGGTGCCAAGAGTAAATGAAAGGCGCCCTTTATTTTTCTTTCTGCAGAAATAAATAGGTTGATGAGATCACAAGGATGTCCGATTTTTTTTTATTTGATTTTTTTTTCTGGGCTTCTGGGTGTCATCTGGCTTCACTCTCTGTATACTTATGGTGTCGTATGTGGTTCGGCTGATTCAAAAGTTGCTCTCTTTCTGTCCCCGTCCTGTTTTCAGGCCATTTACAAGATGGTTTCCTCTGTGATGAAAATGCCCGAGGACGAGTCCACGCCCGAGAAACGCACAGATAAGATCTTCAGGCAGATGGACACAAATCGAGATGGTGAGACCCCTTTTCTCGCGTCTTTCTTTGTAGACGAGACGAAATTAACTCGGTAACTCTGCCGGCACAAATAAGCAAAGCGCCGTAAACCCGCCTCTCTCTGCCCCTCAGGTAAACTGTCCCTGGAGGAGTTCGTGGAAGGAGCAAAGAACGACCCGTCCATCGTGCGACTGCTGCAGTGTGACCCCAGCAGCGCCGGGCAGTAGAAAACTGGACTCCTCCCACCACCCATAACACATTTTCAAAGTCTTTCCCATCAGACCCGCCCGCTGATTCGATCGCGTTTTAATATACTCCCGCCCCCTGACCCCCAGAGGAAGACGACCGTGCCCGCACACACAGATCCAGCCCAGTCGAAAGCTCCACACAGACGTGGGCCTCACACGTGGTACAGATACGACTCAGAAGGACTGAAATCCCATCAAAGACTTGTTCAAATCCAAGATGTCTCCGCTTCGTCCGAGAGGAAAGTCAGCCGGGACGCTCCAGCCCAATCCAAGTTTGATGGTTTTATTTCCTTTTTTTTTAAGCATGGTTCCTGATTTAAAGGGAATGATGCTTTTATTTGTTTTATCTTTGAGCCTGACGGTTGTTACTAAGTACAGCGGCGTAACTGCGTATCAACACTGGACGAATCGAAGTTTGTTAGTCTGAGACTACTGGTGTTCTTAACTTTACAGCATGGTTATTCAGAGAGAGACAGAGAGAGAGAGGTTCTGGGAATTGTAGGTTTTAACCATTGATTTCAATTTTTTTTATGTATATTTTGGGAGAATGTTACAAACAAACCAAAACTCACTCAGATTTCTGAATGAAGGTGAACTATTTTGACAGCAGATTGCAACCAGCCGATCTCTTGAAAGTGACTGTTTATGCCAAGTTCTGTGCACACAATCACACCCACACACACACACACACAAATGCACATGGATTTGACATATGCATGTAAACCGTTCTCTGATTGTCTTTCTCAAACTGCGGTTTGACAAGTTCATAAGAAACAAAGATAGATGTTATATGAATATATAGTATGTTCTTATATATTCTTTTACTCTGTGATAACATTGCGGCAACTCGCTGCAAAGGAAGAGATTCACTTTAAGATTTTTGACATAAATTATTGGAATGTGATGACAAGCATTTAAATTTCTTTGACTCGACAACTTACGGGGGAAGAAAAAAAAGCACAGCACACTCTCTCATGTTTGTGCTAGATATAAGGAGAAAGGAGAGGACCACATATTGCTATGCATTGAAAATAATTAGCTAAATTTTAGTATTTTTAAATTTTCTTCCCCTTCGGAGTGAGAAAACAGTCTCCAGGTCTGAGTTTGATCCTCACCTCCCACGTTGGAGGTCTCTCTCGTCCGTCTGTGCTTATGCAAGAACAAGCGTCTCCTCAACGTTGCACTTTCTCCCTCATCTCGTTTTCGGGGCGGCGGACCCTCACTGTGATGCTCAGATCGCCCCTCACTGTTTCCACCCCGCTGCTCTGAGAACAGCCTGAGACCCGGTGGTTTCCACAAGCTAATAAATGTGACTTTAGGCTGAAAAGATGGGGGTGGAAAACCACCCCCCCCCCAAAAAACGATCATATCCGAGAGAATTCTCTGGCTTCTGCACATTTCAGTCAGGCGATCAGGTACTTCGACCCTTATTTCATTTCAAAAGCATGTTGTGGTCAAGTGCCAAATATAGATGAATTAAATAAAAGAAGAAAAAAGACAACACAGTATTGCATCCGTTTAAAAGTGTACAGTTGTTACCTGTCGAACAAAACAAAAAAAGAAAAGTAAACTTGTATCATTTTGTAGATTTTGTATTGTTCCAATATATGTTCTGTGTAGTTTGTCCATTTTGTTATTCAAATAAAGACAAAATGGCCAAAGTCTGTTTCTCTGACCTGTTTATTAATGATATTATTAACCTGATTATGAAGTATTGACCGTAACTATTTTTCACTTGGTCTAAAAGACATCAGAATCTTTTTGAAGTGGAGGCAGATCGCCTGGTTCTCTTTGATTTGAACTTTTCTCATGATCAGCATTTGTTTTTATCTCATGATGGGGCTCTTTTTCTTTTTAAGGTAAATTGTGTCGGTCAGTCCTGGAATTGTCTTTAAAATCCGCCTCTGACAACACACTGCCCATCTGTTCACTGTGGATTGGAGTCCAAATTCCACTTTAGTGTTGATTTAGTATCCTTTCATCATCCTGATCGGCATAAGTAACCGCTCTGATAAAGTCCTCAAACATCTCCTTTGTTCTTTCCATGACGCACTTCAGTGGAATTGTACCTTTAAATTCAACAAGGGAGCCCAGATTTATTTAAAACAGCCACGACAAGTTTCGTTGATTAAATCCAACGCTTGAAGTTAGCAATCTTGATAATCTCAAACGTGATAATACAAAACCTAACTTTGAAGAATCTATGTGACTGGTCGACATCAGTACTGAGAGTGATATTTATTCCAAAGAACCAAAAATGAACTATCTTTCCTTAAGTCTTTATTAACTTTTCAACACATTCAAGCGCACAAAAAATACAGTTTAATGCATAGTAAGTACAATTTGTCCCCAGTGTGACATTGTTTGTCGTATTTCGTAAATTGAATTGAATTGAATTTCTTAATCATCATCAACCTTTGTAATTATTCCGAAATTTTTGAAATGTCAAATGTGTCATCCTTGAATCAAAATGAAGCAATGTTCAAACTCCTTGAGTACGGTTATCATGGGAGAAGTTTTTGAAATGTATTACGGGAATTGAAATTCTTGGATTCATTGTTAAAGAAATGCAAAGCGTCATTAATAAATAAAACACATCTAGCAAAAAAAAAAAAAAAAAGGCATGCAAATATGCTGCTAAGTTACTTGGGATGAACGAACTCATGGGGCAGCTAAAACACATCAGGCGTTCCAGGAAGCTGCTTCCCCACGTGTTATTTGGCGGAAACATAAATCTGTACAGAACGAGAATACATGTACAAAGTCTTTTATACAATAAAAATATTCATAGGATCGGAGGGAGTTATGGGTCTGCGGTCCATCGTTTCTCTTCACAGCCGGTTGAAAAAGAATGTCCTTTTTTTTTTTTTTAAATATACATATATCACCGTCCTCCTGAACAGAAAATGTGTCTGGCTTCGTTGTGCTGAGCGTCAGCAGCTTATCGGTCAGTGGTCACAGCTTCTCCTTTGACTTATTCCGCAGTCTCTCTGGGCTCTCCGTCAGATCTCCATCAGCACGATCTTGTAGGCGTCCCCGTAGCCCTCGATGTTGAGGATGAAGCAGTCCTCGTTGGAGTAGTGCTCCACGATGTTGTCGTCCATGTTCACCAGGATCCTGTGGCCCATCCCAGAGAGCTCATATTTCAGTTGCAGAAATCAAAACAAAACAAAACAACAACAAAAAAAAAAAACACAGGGCATACTGTTTTACATCCAGCCTCACTCACCCTTTTTTACTCTTCTTGTACACTTTGGCTATCCTCTCCACGGGGACTCCGAACTTCTCAGATATCTGTCAACGGCAAATAAAATTTGTTCACGTGTCATGTTTGATTTTTTAGTTTTTTAAAGCGTTTTTGACCTATGCAGACAGGAAGCCACTCACAGCGTCCATCAGGCCGACGAGGGTTGGAGACTTCAGCATCAGAGCGTCGAACACCTCTTCCGTCTCCTTTCTTACGTACAGCAGCACTGCGGACACCAGAGGGGGGGGGGGCACCCTTCATTTTCAGACCTCTTTTCATTCATCTGTGTTCAGACTATGTTACGAAACCCTAATGAATTACTATTATTGCCCTGACTCACCGTCTGTGACTGTGGCCCACCAGCCCATTAAGGGCTTATTCTGGCAAATGAATGGCGCTGAGTGATACGAATTATCATTTGATGACTAAATGAATAAGAAATAAAGTGCTTTTGCGACAAAAAGGCCGTTCTTTCGGAAGATTAAATGACTCAAAAACAGCCGTTATGTGCACCTTTGGGGGAAACACTGCGGGGGGTTATATTATGGTGATCTAATCTGAAAAATCAGACATTGAGTCTGCTTATCTGGCTAAACAGATTTGTTTTTGTTCGATAAATTTCCATTCTGGGTGCTGACGCAAAAACCTGATGGAAAATGACTGGCTCTGAGGAGCTGATGTGAGCAGAGGGTGTCCCTTGCAGAGGCCGGAATTGTTATAAACAGTCTTCAGAAATGTCAAACTTTCTGGTCGGGATGTTTCCCAGCTCCTTTTCCTGGTCTGGATCATCTCTCTTTTACTAGTTTTTTTTTTTTTAAATGAAGTGTGCAGTGAGCTGTACCTTTCTTGTGCGTCTCCTCTTTGATCTGTTTGTGAGGCGACGGACACAGATCTTCATCAGACGGCCTGAACATCCTCTTAACCAACACGCTCCTGGAAATATACAAATACATTGTCTACTGCACCCACTCTGCCTGTGATCTGTGTCCTCTGTGGTTTTCTGCACTTCCCAGGTTGGTATATGCGCCTACTTTCATTTGCATGCCCTATATTTGTATGGTTTCACTAATCTAAACATTTCCAGACGATGCACACTCACCCCTCTCTCTCAATCTCCTCTGTTTGGAAGGTAAAGACCTAGAATGACAGTGTTAATTAATAAAAAATGTGTTAAGCATCATGCAAGGGTGTAAGAAAAAGTAAAATATCTTAACTGTCGAGCCAAAATTGTTAATCTATTAAACAAAAAACAAGTTTTTGCAGTCCTGCAGGACTTGTTTCATCATATATTACATGTTATCTTTAAATATAAGGCCGACTGATTCATATATTAGAGTAATAAGGGAAACAATGAAGTTGAAAAGTGGTTAAAACCAAGAAAATATGTCACAGGGGGAGTTCTCCTGTGCCGCACCTGTCCAGCCCTCTGCAGGTTACCGAAGTGAATGTCCGGGATGAAGAGGACCGGCTGCACGTCCAGGTCGGTCATGGTCTTGAAGTAGGTGGTGTCGGACTTTTTGGGAACGCTTATCACCCCGACACTGCCATCTTTCCCTAGACACAAAACAAAACAACAGAAAAAAAAGAGCATTCATAATTCACCCGGGACTATACATGTGTGCGTGTATAGATCTTGGGATTCTGTAAATAACTTCAGAGTAGGGTCTGACATGCTCTGTTTGGAAAGCACTATGAGATTACTATACAAATATATAAATAAAAGTGAATTGAATTGAATTGAATAGATTATTTTCATATGTGAAAAAAAAAATGGTTCAAACCTTTCGACTTCTTGCGGAATAATTTCCTTTCTTCGTCCCTTATTTTTCTCTCTGCTCCCTGAAAGGGTAAAAGACATTAAAATCAGTTAGTAGAAATGATTACTCTTTCTAGGGGGGGGGGTTATCTCAGTGGTAGAGCATTTGACTGCAGATGTAAGTCGCTTTGGATAAAAGCGTCTAATAAATGCTTAAACATTCTACAATTCTGACCACAAGGATGGTGTGTGTGCTGAATACACAGGTGTGTTTTGACCGCAGACCACTAGAGGGAGGAATGATGTCAGTTTATAGCTGCTCTGCTTCCACTGACGGTCTGTGAACACTTCCTGGTTTTCTTCCAGAAGAGAGCATACTGTAGTTCATATTTTAGACTTGGTGGGACTATTTCCCATTCGTGTGAATCAATTTAACCCTATAATGCCAAATGTATCACATTTGATACATACTGTTTCTGAAGTATTTTGGATCTGAGACTTTTTGCATCATTCAATGGCAAAAAGCTTTGCTCAAACCCCCGTTGTACACATTCAGATATACCTGATAACAGCGAGTAGAAGACTACACCAAAATATATTTTTAATTTATTGCATGGTAATTTGATCAAAATAATTTCAGTTTTTTTTTTCTTCATATGTTTCTGAGGGGCCAAAGAAAGACTTCAGACTAAAAAAAATCCAATATTCTTCCTATTTTTCTTCGGTCAAGCCTTAAAGGGATAACAGAGCTCCATGTTGTGTCGAGCTTCATGTCAAGTGTGTGTGAATATGTCCGGGAATGAGAGCTTGATGGAATTCAAGAGCCCATTTTCCACAGATAATCGCGTGGACACACTAAAGTGTTCCGTCCTTTACACGCGATGACCCTTGTCAAATAACCACCAATCCAGAATCCAACAAATGAAAAAAGGCCTCCGTGTGTCTAGTTTTTCTAGCAAAATGGGTTTTGGTCATCCATCACCTTGTCACAGAAGACCTTGATCTGGGAGTAGGCCCGGTGCAGCGGCTTGTCTCTGCGGCTGTTGTAGCTGTAGGTGTCGATCTGGATCATCAGAGGGAGACCCTTCACCCCCTTCTGAGAGGAGAAGTCCGTGCTGAGGCAGTTGACTGTGATGAAGATCTTCCAGGAGCATAGAAAAAAACAGGAGGGAGAGACATTTAGTCGGTTCTCTTTAGTTGGTTTCTCTTTTTAAGGCGATAAAAACGTTGAAAAACAGTGAATTACCTGCAACGGAAAATCAATTTCGGGAGAAACAAATGCTCACAGGGGGCTCATTTTCTAGCACTTCTCACACAAAAGCAAAGAGAATTCCTTTGAACACATTTTTTTTTGTTCGGTAGAAATCTCAGTGGATGAAAAACAAAGCTGCCACGGATAAAAGAGAAGCCGGTGCTCTCCTTCTGTTCTGCCTGTTCTTTGACTGGGAGCGCTGGTCTTTGGGTTTTGGCTGTGAATGCCTTCTACAACAAAAGCCCAAGCGGTTGGTCATTAACTTGAGCCATAAAAAAAATCCATTAGCAATAGCGGCCAAAAGGAAAGCTTCATTTGAGTGTATCGAAAGAAGTTTAAAACCTCCTCAAGCCATTCAGCGGTGATGCCTCCCTCTGAAGAAAGAGCTGCAATAAGCACTTTCTGCAGCATTTCTCAGGTTTTTTCTTTAGATATATTGTCAAAGAAAACAAGATGTACGAGATTTGGCTAATATCTATGTATTTATTTATGGATCTATCCATATATATGCATCTATTGACAGACCTTGTTCCTTAAAATCCATTTTTGGAGTGAAAAAATTCAAACTATCAGGGAGCTTCCTTTAATTCTTAACCTTCTGTAGGCATTTGAGCATCTTTTCATTTGCTCCAATCAAAGTTGTACAAATATTTTCAACATTCCAAGTGTCATATTTTTAACTATTTCAAAGACAAGCCAGACTATGTGCATGGATTTAAAAAAAAATAACCCCACACCAAAATAATTATTTGGTGTGAACACTGTGTGTAGCTTTGATCAATCTATTGTTTTCCTCCATTTTCTTAGCAGATAAGGCATCCCCAGTCAGAGGGTATCAGGACATGAATTTGGTCAGGCTGATTCTAGAGCACCCTCTGTGGGATCACATGGTGCATTGCTTCTTTATTGGCTCTATTGTCTGAGGGATTTAATGATTAATTAAATGTGAACCTTAGAATACAGAAATTAAAGCCCTGGGTGTTAAAGTGATTGTGCTGTAATGGTTTCTTAATATATACTTTTATGGCTGGATTACAGGGATCTAAGAGGGTGTCAAGTTGTCTAATGTATTTGAAACCAAAAAACAGAATTAATGCTGTAAAAAAAATACCCTTGCATCTTGGTTTATAACACATCTACTATATATGTATTGCTATTTCTTCCCCCCTAAATCGACAAAAGGGTTTGTTCCCACTTTCTGCTGAATAACATTTTGTCTTCTCAATCTTTCATGTTATGCAGGATAAGTCACTTAACCAGCTTTATGTTCATTTTTTTTTATCTTAGGTCACATAGACATACATGTTTGTGTTGTGTACTGTATATTTGTGTACATTCAAGTCAGATGTCCCAACCGTTAACTAGGTTAACTGTGTATTCACATTATATAGAAAGGTGTGTCGTTATAAATGTCATCTGAGGTTGGACGACCTTTCTCAAACATCAGCCCTGCCCAGAAAAGAAGTGACTAAGAGCTTGAATGTGTCATTAAATCTTGAGAGGTTAATGACAGTTACAGATAACAACGTAGATTAAAAACAGTAAAAAGGGTTTTTTGTGCTGCCTGAACCTCCCGATGACGTGAATGTGGTCAGCTTTGTGGCAAATTTCTAATGTGGTTTTGAATCTGGATTAAATAAGTAAAAACATATTGTATTGATTTGAGCTATTGTACAAAGGTACATTTACTTATCTTTACTATCTTTCTTCAGTTATCAGAGTATAGGACTAAAATATTCCCATCCACACACTGTCTACACTGCTTATTTCTTGTCGAGTCGTGGGGGTAGAGGTGTGGTGGTGGGAGGTACAACCTGGATATCTGAGGATTTAGTTTTGTTTGGCCAAACCTGTTTTCAAATTCTTGTCCTGGAAAGGCCTTTGCATGGGCATATGACAACAGGAAAAGCTTTTTTTTTTGTAGAGATGTTACTTCTTCGTTAAGTAATCAATTTGGAAAAGTAATAAAATAGATAAAGTCTTAACAGGATGGTGGTGATAGCTCAAACAGGCTCACTTAAACTTTTTTGAAATTAAGAATACAATATATTCACTGAAGAAACTCCTGTAGTAACTATAATAATATATATATTGAAACTGTTTTAGTTTTTGAAAACTATTACAAACTTTTTCTCTATTGTGCTAACACAAAACCCATCAAAATAAATCTTGGAACTTTTAATGATCACTCCAAAAAGTGACAAACAGAAACGCTGGTCTTCTCTATCAGATCTCTTTTGAAAAAGGACAATTTCTTTTGTTTAAAATGGAACTTCCCATCTCATCTGATTCTATGTCTGATGAAATTACACTAAAGATTGTTCAGTGAATTGTTGTTTGCAACTGAATTCCATCCAGCTGTTCTGTTCAACCTAAGTCTAAAAGCTTCACACGTACCTTTGTCGGAACCCTTAAACCTCTGTCATGGATACATTTATGAGTATTGTGTGTCCCAGAAGTAAAAAAATAAAGATTCAAGTTGATCGTTTCTCTCAACGATCTGGGATTGAAACAGTTTTAGCTCTTAAAGAGGCATTTTCCCACTCTGCTGTCATGTATAGTGAGAGAAAAAAGAGAGTGATGGGGAGATAGAGCAGGATAGATGTGGGCAGAGTCAACACTGGCATGAGAAGTGTGCTTGGATTTCCTCCAGCTTCGTCTTTGTCCGCGGGCAGCTCTCGTCGTGAAAAAAAAACAGCACACGCATCGCACACAAACCACACACCAAACAAACACACGGAGTCACTCATGTTCACACAGAAATGAGGGCAAAACAAATAGCAGAGGGTGGAGACGGGGACTGGCCCTTGGGGGCACTCTGGAGTTCAAACACAGACCGGGGCTACATTTTAAGGAGCGGCCACAAAGGAGTGGGCTTCACCGAGACAAAAAGAGAACAAACACGGCAAAAGTACGCAACACCGGCCCATTGGTTTTCATGACAAGTTTGAGCCAATAAAGCTGCTTAAAGGACAGATTTCCATACTGATCACACTCTGATGGGGTTCCATAAACTGTATTCATGTGAGTTCTGGATCGTTTTTTGATGTTTACATCTCAGTTAAAAACCGGTTCATTTGTGAAGGGAGTGCATTCGTTGGCCAACATCTGAATCAGCGCAAAAAAAAAAAAACCTGTCCTGCTGCTTTTTCACGTTGACAACACGCCTCCAGTGAGTGTAAATATACTAGACTCCTTTCTGGGAAAATCACAATGACATTCGAGCCCTGCGTACAAAGAGAGAAAGAAAAAAAAAAAGAAAAAAAAAAGAAAGGCGACGTTAGCGTTTTGTACCTTGGCCTCTTCGTTCACGTCCCAGGTGAAGGAGATGGCGTTGTAGGCTATCTCCTCGATGTTGGCGATGGTGTTGAAGCTCTCCTTGTAGTCGGCTGTGAGGAAACGCAGACAAAGAACACACGAGTCATGCAAAAATTTCAGTCCACCCCTGGCACCGGACCCTTTGCCCACGAAGAAAAAAAACACTCAAAGCCCAACGCAAATTGCTCAATAAAAGACTAAAGCTGGTAGCTATTGTTTGTTAAGATAAGCAATCCAATGGCACACTTCAATTGTAAAAGATAAAGCCTTATCTGCTTGGGCAAACAAGCTCTCAGGCTTCAAAGGCACCAAGAGGAAACAGGGGAGGCTATCCGGGTCAAGGCACCAAATTATAGGCCAGCTGGATGAGTTAGCTGTTGTTGACCTGTGAATACATACAAGCGGAGACTCTGGTCTGTGGGAAAATGTTCGAACGAGTTCCTTCAAAACCTCAAATTTGAGCAATGAATGATAGAGTTGTATAAATAAGGACAATAACTCAAATGGATTGATCTAATTTCAAAGGCTGTCATGATGTCAGAAGATGCCATACCACCGCTTGCTAACAATAAGACAGAAAAGAGATGTTGGATGTCCGGTTTGTTCATTTCACCTTTGACCCCTGTCTGCTCGTGAATTGTTCCAGAGTTCCATTTGGAAAGATATTTGTTCAAACTGTTTTTTTTTTTAAACAGCAGGCCAGCTGAACCTATCTCAGAACCCAGCCGTTTCACTTCCTGGTTCCTCGGCAGGTGCACAAGGCAGCAGGGCAGGCTGCAACGTGCC